GCTGTGCTGTGCCTGAGCAGGCTGGTCAGCCCTTGTTTGTTTATTTTTGAGCTAGGGTCTCACTATGCAGTCCAGGCTGGCCTCAAACTCATGGTGATCCTCCTGCTTCAGCCTTCCAAGTGCTAGGATTACAGGCATGAGCCACTGTGCGTGGCAATGTGCATCTCAATTTGGACACTAAATTTTCACCAGAAATATCTAGCCTGTATTGAGATAATTAGAAATATTTTTCCCCCCTTGAGACAGGGCTTCACTTTGTAGTGTAAGCTGGCCTGGAACTCATTATGTAGTCTAGACTAGCCTCAAATGCATGGTGATGCTCCTGCCTCAGCCTCCTGAGTGCTGGGAATACAGGTGTGGGTCACCACACCCAGCTTAACTGAGCATGTACAAGCTGGACAAGTGTCCTACCGCTGAGCTCTTGAGGACTTAGTACGAAACAGAGAATATAAAATAGCTCACTGGGGCCAGGGAGCTGGCTCGGAGGTCTAAGCGCCTGTCTGGTAAGCACCAGGACCCAGGCTTGACCCCTGGTACCACATGCTGGACCGATGAAACCAGGCAGACCACTGTGAGTCTGAGCTGTGTATCCAGACCCTGTACCAAATAAATCAATAGATCTTAAAAAGAAAAAAATAGGGCCACAGAGATAGCTCAGCGGTCTAAGTGGCTGCCTAGGCAAGTTGAGGACCGTAGCACATGCCACACTGGTGCCACCCTCAGGTGCTGGAAGCCAGCCACCAAGACCAGGCTGGTGGTACAGGCCTATAATCCCAGCGATAGAAGGCTGAAATAGGAGAATCATTACAAGTCCAAACTGAGTAGTGAGACCCTGTACCAAATACATAATTTTTTTTTTAAAAAAGCACATTAATGATTTCACATTTTATTGTTGTTTTGCGGCACCAGGGATTGAACTCAGGACCTTGTCCTTGCCAGGCAGGTACTTATACAACTGAGCCAACTCCCCAGCCCCCAGTGATTTCACTTTTTTTTCTTTTGCAGAACTGGGGATTGAGCTCAGACCCTTGCGCTTGCCAGGGAAGTGCTTATTCTACTGAGCCATCTGCCCGGCCCTGATTTCACATTATTGATTTCATGCTTTAATTATTATTATTATTATTTTATTTTATTTTATTTTATTTTGTGGTACTAGGGATTGAACTCAGGACCTTGCACATGCCAGGCAAGTGCTTATTCTACTGAGCTATCTCCCCAGCCCTCATGCTTTAATTATAACCTAGATTTTATATATAAAATTAGAATTAATTTTATTAGAATGAATTTTATTTACTTATCTTCATTTTTTGAATATACCTACTATAGCTTACTTACTTTCTTTCCTTCTTTTTGGTACCACTGGAACTTGGCCTCGTGCTTGCCAGGCAGGCACTGTGCTGCTGAGCTACATCCCCAGCCAAGCATTTAAAATTATCTTCTGTAGTTCTTTTTTGTTTTTTGTCTTTTTTAGATAAGATTTCACTATACAGTTCAGGGTGGCCTTGAACTCATTCTGCAGCCCCGGCTGGCCTCGATGCCTCCAACTCATGCAAACTTCTCGCCTCAGCCCCCAGAGTGCTGGGCTTACAGACAGGTGCCACCATGCCCAGATAAAATTATCTGATGTAGTTATTTATGTTGCTCTAGGTGCTGGGGCCCAGAAGGGAGCAAAGCAGACGAGCTTCCTGGCCTGGTGCCACACTCCTGCTGGAAGGCTGGGCATACACACAGCCACAGGCCCAGGCCTCACCCTCCATTCTGCCTTGCTCCATAATTCAAACTAGAAGAGGAGAAAGGAGGCTAACAAAGGAACAAGGAGCAACAGAGACAGGGAGAGGGTGAAGAGAAGAAGGGGGGAGGGCGGGGGGAGGGAGAGACGGGCTGAGGCCCTGAGATCCAGAGCTGGGGTCCTGGAGGAGCAGTTTCGCTCTGACCTTATTTCCAGGCTTTGCTGTTCCAGAGAGCATTGTTTTTCTGTGGTGCCTCGCGCCTCTTGGCACACAGCCACCCTGTCAGCTCCAGGTCCCCGCCTCCCCTGGCTCATGTGGACCCTGAACCAGCAATCAGCTTCACTTGTAGCTGTTTACTCTTTTTTTTTTTTTTTTTGCGGAACCAGGGATTGAACTCAGACTCTTGTGCTTGCCAGGGAAGTACTTATTCTACTGAGCCATCTTCCCGGCCCCTTGTAGCTGTTTAAAAATGCCAGATCTCACCAGGCAGGGGTCACACATGTAACACCAGTACTTGAGGAGGCTGAAGAAGGAGCCAGAGAGATAGCAGCATAAGCGCCTGCCTGACAAGCATATGGTCCTGAGTTCAATTCCAAGGACCAAACAGGAAAAAAGAAAAGAATGAACAGAAAAGAAAAAGAAAAAGGAGGTTGAATTTTGGCCCCAACCTTCTAAGGTCAATTAAGACTCAGAACATATGAGAACTTGTACCGTAATGTCATGTAACTCAGTAGTGTCCCAAATTTTCTGATCAAGGAGATTATGGGGTCAAAGAGGAAAGTGATGGATGATGTAGAGTGTGCCTAAGGAGAGTCACATGGAGAGAAAACATTCTTTCAGGCTTTCACAGAGAGCACATTGGCCAAGCAATGGCTGTGACTCATCCACATGGCTGACACTGACAAAGGTTCTACAATCTGAGGTACAGGATCTCAGGATAAATCCTGAGGGGATTTCACTGACCTTATCAGACCCAAAAGCTACAACTCTTGTTGCACAGGACCTGCTTTACCTTGGTCTTAACCATCCAGTAGAAAAGTATGAAGACGAAATATAGGAAGTAAAGCCATGCTGTTATGTTGATCTGTGGGGGACTCAGGTCAATAATTTCTGACATTGCCAGTTAAACAGAAGACCCAATGCTATTATGGGCTACTGGACTCTTTTAGAATATTTTGCTGAGTTTACACACCTATAATATTCAATAACGGAACTTAACAAAAAAAGGGTATACAGATGAATGTCCATTTTGTATCTGTGTATTCAAAGTGGTTAGGATAGATATATAGTTACATTCTCTTAATGATAGAATGATTTGTTCTAATGGTGTTTGTAAATAGGATCTCAAGTCCGCATCTTGTACAGCAATTAACCACTAAGAAGAATGTATGCAGTGTGTTAATTATTGAAACTGTCCTAGCGATTTGATTTGAAACTGTCTCATTGCTATTTGTTTATCAATAAAAATATGAAAAAGAAAGAAAGAAAAAGGAGGTTGAGGAGGGAGGATTGCTTCAAGTTCACAGGCAGCCTGAGCTACATAGCAAGACCCCATCTCCTCCCCACATACACACACACGCACACATGCAAAGCCAAATCTCACCAAGCATGGTGGAGCCAGGCATGTTGGTGTATGCCTGTAATCCCAGCACTTTGAAAGGCTGAGGATCTCAAATTGGAGCCCAAGCTGGGCAATTTAGTGAGAATCAGAGAAAGAAGGAAAGAAAAATGAAACGAAACGAAAAGAAAATGTTGCTCAGTGGAAAGGCCCTGGGTTCAAGCCCAGTGGTGGGGAGGGCCCTGAATCCCAGGCTCCATCCCAGACCTGCACAACCAGAATCTGGGTCCCCAGCAGACGGCCTTGAGCCCTCACATTCACAGCGTGGGAGGCTGTGGTCTTCGCTGTGCCTTAGGCTGTGCCTGCTACCTCTTTCCTCTGAGATTTCCGCTCACAGGTGCTCAGCGCCCCCTCGTCCTTCCCTGATGCCCTAAAACATGACAGGCGCGGTAGGTACTCCCTGCATCACAGCTGGCAGTGGTGACAGCTCAGGGTGTTTTATATCGGATAGCTACAGCTATGTGGAGGAGTAGGGGTAGATAGAAGGGCCGATGGGGTGTGGATGGGGAGGCAAGTAGAACCCTAAGTTTGGAGCCTTTGATCCACAGATACACTGGTAAATTAGGGAGTGGCTGGAAGAAAGGGTTTAGCAAAAGCAAGCATGCCATTTCCCAGCTTTTGGAGGAGAAAAAGACAGCCAAGAAGTGACTGAAGTGTCAAGATGACCTGAAATCTCACCCAGTATAGGGTTGACTGCAGCGAAACTTGGCAGGTGGGGAAAAGGGCAACCTATGCAAAAGCCGCTGCCGCCTGCTGGACCGAGCTGGTAGTGCACCCGCCTGGGCCTGAGCCGAGGGGCTCGCGCCTGCCCCATGCTGAGACACTGTGGTGGAACTATACAGATCGGGCAGCTGGGTGACTCTGCCTTGTCAATCTTTTGGGAGCAACTGGGGGCCATCCTGGTGGGGAGAATTTCCACTTCCAGATGGGAAGGGACCAGTCCAGGGACTCAGAAGAGTCAGGTCCCCCTTGTCCAAAAGAGCCCCCAGCCCAGTGGGAAGGAGACTGGGGATCCAGGTCCGACTTCCCTAAGTGCTGTGTGACCCTGTACCATGCCCTTCCCCTCTCGGACCCTCTATTGTTTCATTTGAGACGTCTTGTTGTTGAGTGACCTTCCTGCTTCAGCCTCCAAAAAGTACCAGAGACTACAACTCCTGCCATTGGTCCAGCTTGGACTTATTTTAGCCCCAGTGGGACCCTTGGCAGGGAGTTAGGAGCTCAGGTGAGGGGTTCCTCCCAATCTGCCCTTGCTGGGGAGATGCCAGCTCCAAAGGAGGTCTGAGTGGGCCCCATAGGGAGGGATGGGAGAAGCCATACTTGCCACTGGCGAAGGCGTAGGCTCCCGGCCACAGGTTGGAGCGCACCACGGCGACAGAGTACTGCGGGCAGAGGGTGCAGGACACGCGGGTGGTCCAGGGCGACATGTTCATGATTTCTGCATTGGGAGGTGGAGAAGCACGGAGTCAGGGGTCCCCACACCCTGCACAGAGCTCTGGGGTGGAGGGGGAGAAGGAAGGGAGAGAAGAAACCCAGAGTGCCCCGGGCAGCTGCTGGGATGATGGCGCAGGGTGCCCCGTGGGAACCAGAGTGGGCTCGCAACCTCTGTCGGGAGCCTCAGTGGCAGCACCCAGAGACGGAGATACCCAGCTGGCATATGTGGCATCCCTCGATGGCTAGGTTCAAATCCCTCCCCACCCCACCTCCCCTTCCTCTTCCCCCCATTGGCCTCTCCCAAGACCATATGCAGAGGTCCAGGCAGCCACCGGTGAAGCAGAGGGGGCCGTGCCCAAGAGACGCGAACTAAGAGGACCCGAAGTTCTGCCTGGCCTTCCTCTGTGCCGCCCCCTCCTTGCGGATGAGGATGAGGATGAAGAGGATCAGGGAGACCCTCACCTGCATCTTCTGAGAGTGGGGTCAGTAGCGGGGGCCCGATCTCCTGCTCCACTTCATCCGGGCCCTCGTCGCCCTTCTCCTCCTCCTCCCCCAGCTCCTCCTCCTCGTCTGACTTCTGCAAAGGGTTCACCCAAGTACAGCGGCCCTGGAGGGGGGGATCAGGTGGGACACCAGCTGGGGAGGTGGGGACTCTGGCCTCGCTCCAGCTGGGAATGAGCCCATTCCTCCCTTCATGGGTTGTCACCTGCTTCTGCAATGAGCACCTCCCGGGGGCAGGCTGTGTTCTGGGTGACAGGGACTAACTCCGGAGAAAGGGGACGGCTGTCTCTGCCTGTGCACCACACTCTGCAGCCACAACCTCTGTCTGCTCACCTGCAATGGGCCCCCCAGGGCGCGGCTCGGGTGGCATTGAAGTGGGGCTCAGGAGCTCCTTTTTTTTTTTTTTTTGCAGACCCACGGATTGAACTCAGGCCCTTGCTCTTGCCAGGCAAGCACTTATTCTTCCGAGCCATCTCCCGGCCCCCAAGAGCCTCTTGAGAGCCAAGAATAGCTTCTTTTCCACTTTTTGTTTGGGCTTTTTCTCTGTGTGCGCCTGACCATGGGTGCATGCCTGCGTGTGTGTGCGTGTGTGCGCAGGACAGAACCTAGGGCTTTAAACGCACTAGACAAGTGCTTTGCCAGTGAGCCACAGCCCAGGCTTGAATACTTGTTGTTATTGTTGTTGTTTGTTTGGTACCAGGAATCAAACTCAGGACCTCGCGCTTGCCAGGCAGGCACTTGCGCCACCCAGCTATATCACCAGCTCCCCCTTTTTTCTTTCTTTCTTTCCTTTTTTTTTTTTTGAGACAGGGTCTCCCTCTGTAATTCAGGTTGGTCTTGAACTCACAATGTAGCCCAGGCTGGCCTTGAATTCATGGAGCCTCTCCTGCCTCAGCTGTAAGTGCTGGGATGACAGGCACATGCTCCCACCTCTGCCCAGTCCTGAATACAACTTAAATGAACGCATGAGCAACCACAGGAGAACTGACTCTCATTTCATCTGCTAGGAAATGGGCTGGTAGTTGCACTACTCTCTAAAGGAGTTAAGTGGGGGCTGGTGAGATGGCTCAGTGGTCTAAAGCACCTACTTAGAACAAGTTTAGCAGAGCACAGGGACCATGGTTCAATCCCCCAGCACCACATGCCAGCCAGCCCCGCCCCCTGGTGCGCTGAGCTGGCCACACACACACACACACACACACACACACACACACATAAATAAAGGAGTTAAGTGGATTCAATAAAACACTGTAAGGGCTGGGGAGATAGCCCAGTTGAATAAGTGCTTGCCTGGCAAGTGCAAGGACCTGAGTTCAATCTCCGGTTCCACAAAAAATGAATAAATAAATAAAATTAAAAAATAAAACCCTTGGGGCCGGGGAGACAGCTCAGTGGAATAAGCGCTTCCCTGGCAAGCGCCAAGGGCCTGAGTTCAATCCCCGGTTCTGCAAAATAAAATAAAATAAAATAAAACCCTGTAGAATCAACAATTGTTTAAGTAGATAATCAAAAGTTCCTAGAACCCAGTGGCCTTTTGTTTTATTTTATTTTTCAGTATTAATGATTGAAAAAAAAATGATGATTATTGAACTGAGGACCTTCCCACTGACATACATCTCCACAGCATTTTTATTTTATTTTATTTTATTTGCAGAACCAAGGATTGAACTCAGGCCCTCACGCTTACCAGGGAAG